GTGTCTTTCAACCAGTCTACCAGGGTTTCGCGCTGTTCTGAAGAGAGAATTGCAAAATCTTTAAACGGATTTGCTTTCAACTCATCGAGTATTCCATCGATTTGATAGAATTCCGCCTCGCTTACCAACTCCTTGCGAACGACTTTATCGTCCGGGAGTACGAGTTTCCCAGTGCGAAGATAATTTAAGATATGTCGGAAGTGTGTTCCGTCTCGATCGATGAAGTAAGATCCATCCTCGCCAGGTTTTGTGTCAAATCTGCTTGAAAACATGGCATGTAACATGGACCCTGTGAAAACAAGATGAACAAAACCTTTCTAATATACCTTAATCTTTTTTTTTTTCAAAAAGAATCATCTACACTTACCCAATTTGGCGTGTGGCATCGAACATCACGAAGCAAGCTGCATTCAACCGTATCAAAAATGTTTTTATTTCATAGGTACTGAGATTTACCCACAAAAATCGTAGTGAATAAAATTCGTACTGATTCTAAATGTAGCCAGTCAGGAGTACGAACAACAAAATTTCACCGTGAAAAAATTATCGTTCGTCCAATCAGCAACGCGAACGACGAAATTTCATTAATGATGAATGAACGTACTGAAGAGAACGTCATGCGCGAGCCGTTGCACAAATCCCGCGCGCTTTGAAAAATGGCCGACGGAAGGTTCGCTTCTGTTTACTCAGTTGAATAATTCATTTCAGAACACGAAAACAAAAATACCGCTCAAAAAACTGAAAGAGATGTAAGATTGCTTGAAAGATTTTTGAAAACGAAGGACGTAGACAGGAAAATTGAAGATATTCCAGCGGCTGAGTTGAATGAATTCATTAGCGAATTTATTATCTCCGTACGCACTAAAGATGGCAACGAGTACGAGCCGACTAGAACTTGATTGATATCTGATGAACACAGGTAAGCTTAAGTGTTATGAACTTTATGCACTTTTATTAACTTGTTGTTGAGAACTTTTTAAACTACTTTTTACGCTTTTCATCGCCCCATCTGTGCTATTTGTCTACCAAAGACAACACGAAAAAATCTCAGCACCTATGAAATAAACACATTACAGCATGGAAAATGCTTTGTACGATTTTCACTCACTCGTTGATACGTATTAGAAAACTCACTCGTTCGCTGCGCTCACTCGTTCGTTTTCTGATACTACACAACTCGTGAATAAAAATCGTACGCGCGCATTTTCCATGAAGTAATCTCTATTTACTGTGGTGTATTCAGTTGACTAGAAGTAATGCCGGATTATTTAAGACTGCTTTCCACATGCCTGCTCGTTTTTAAACAAGCATAGAGACGCAGGTGTAATTTCAGAAGTCAGCCGCAAAACGTTAGTATCGTTTTGAACAATGGACTTAAAAATCGAATTCTCTCAACTACTTAAACAGCTGCGGATGCAAACAGAATTTGAATTTATGAATAAACTACTGAATAAAAGCGAACTTTGTACAGTGTATCAAAAAGCTAGATCTCAATTCTTAGTTCAAAATTCAAAACTCGCTTTAAAGTACCTGGATCTTTTGTCATTGTCGCCAAACTTGTGGAGAAAAAATGGCCTCCGACGTTGAGTTTCAGCATGGTCGAGAAATGAACATGCTCGAGCTTCTTTGCCACCTCGTCAAACGCATTTCTTTCCTTGCGAAGCTTGTTTGTCTCACGCTTCAGAATGTCGAAAGCGTCTTTGATGTGTTTATTCACTTCGTCTAAGGCTTCATCGTCGGGTAAATCTTTCTTTGAGTTACGCTTTGTCGACATCTTAATTCAAGTGGGTTATACAAAAGGACAGGTGAAGAAATCAATTTTTTTCCTGAGAATCCCGAGATATAACGTCTATTCTTAGAATTTGCGTGTTGCTGTGATTCTCGGTAAGTTGATTTCTCGGAAATGTATGGGTGAATCAATTTCATCATGCATAAATTACTTCGAGTCACGTCATGCATAAAAATTAATTGGATATTGGAAAACGTTGATTATCAAGTAGTGCATTCTTATTATGAGTTCACTTCGCGGTCAATTTTACCGCATCTCTTCCCCGTCGACACTTTTTCAGCGAAAATAATTCAAGTTTAGTGCTCACAGCAAATCCCACAGAATATGCAAAATTTGTCTGTTGTTTATCTGTTTTAATTTCCCCTCGCTGTCTGATTGTAAATTAATCTATTATATCACTCGTGGTAGAGAGAAAATTACTATTCCATTAAAAACTATTCTAAATTTACATGAGAACTGAAGCTAGTTTAAAAACCTTACTCACCCTTCCCCGCTTCCCCTCACAACACCTTAATAAAACAAACTGCCCCTGCCTGCCCCCACTGCCTGCCTGTCGAATACAAATTAAGGCTTCCTTTTCTTTACGAACTTTGCTTATCTCGCGCCTCAAAATACTCAATGTATCAGTAATGTGCTTGTTTGGCAAATCTTTCATTGAACTGCGAGAGAAAGACAACTTAAACTCTTTCGCACTGTTTTGCGAGTCACTTTTCTTCGAAATGCGGGAGGGAAACATTTCAACTTTCTCCAACAAGCCGTCCACGAGTACAAAATGCAAAGAGTTCCAAGAATTAACAAAAGCTTCTATGTCTTCATATTTCGCGGAAATTGCACGAGGTTTTGATTAATTCTCAGTGTTTCGATTTCTTAGAAACAACTGGATGTTTAGCCTACGTGTAGCCTTACCCTTCCTTCTCCCCTCTGGTGACTCACCATTGAATGGAAGCGAGGGAAAGTCTACGCAAACCCGACACTAATCATGTTATGTGACGTCACTTTAATCCATGCAGAATTATATACCTTGATGATGTTTTTTGCGAAGTGGCACGCGTTAAAGTGAAAGTTTATCGAGATAAACAACAACATTGAAGTGAATTCATTTTTCATTTTTCGAGTTAATTTGCAATTTAGCGTCCGACCTCAAATGAATACTTTAATTTGCTCCAAGAATATAGGAAAAGAATACGAGCGATTTTTGGTATAGAGTAAGAATAGGACGATGTTCGATTGGCATTGGGCTTACGAAACTAGATTTCATAGCATCGCAGCACTGTTCGCAAACAGACCGAAAGTTTAAGGTGGACGATCCTCTGGCCCAAGTTCATTAAGATGGTGCACCTGGTCTTCTATGAGAGCTTTAACGGGCAGCACAAATAATATAGTCACTGGTTTCTTTTAGAGAAGAGAGCCGATGAATTACCGGCGCTGCTTGATATATTAAAGATTTTCCATAGCCATTTGGTAACAAAAGAGAGACATCGTTACCTTCGGAAAAGATATCTATGGCTTTCCGCTGTTCTTCTTGAAATGTTTCTATCCAAGAGTCGCACAAACTACCTTAAAAACTCGTCGTAGATCGCTTTTGTCTATAAAGTTGACCATACAAGCTTTTGTGCGCCATCCTGTTTGTAAGTGAGAAAAAAATAAATTACCAACCTTAGCCAATCAGAATTCACGAAAGAACCGGCAAAAGGGGTTAACCAATAAAAAGCGGCTGTATATTTTCTTGCAAAAGAGTGACGTCATGGAACACGGCTGGTGCCAGGTTTGCTTAGACGTTCCCTTGCTTCCATTTCACCTTGGGGGGGGGGGGGGGGGGGGGGGGGGGG